CTCCCTGTGAAATGGAGCTGGACACGGGGTCCTCCATTTCTATTATTTCGGAAGACATCCTTGGTGCCCTTTGCCCGAATGGGGGACCCCTGCTGGAAGATACCGGCCTCACACTTAGGGATTTCCAAAAGAACCCGGTGGCCATCAAGGGGGTAGGCCAGTTCCGGGTGAAGTACAAGGACTTCGAGGGCCCCTTAGAATTGGTGGTGGTGAAAGGCCATCTCACCAGCTTATTGGTACTTTCCTGGTTTGACGCCCTGGGCCTTGCAGTGACCGGGGTACAGCAAATCTGGGAGATAAATATGAAGACCACTAGAGCAATTCCCTTTAAGGAAAATACTTATAAAGTTATACATAGATGGTACTTATACCCCTCAAGACTAGCCAAATTTTCCGCATCATCGACTAATATTTGTTGCAAAATGCAAACAGAAGGTTGGTACGTATTTCCACATGTGGTGGACATGCGGTAAAGCTAAAGAATACTGGGAGAATATTAGAATGATGTTAAAGGAAATTATGGAGGAATCAATATCAATGAAACCGGAATTATATTTATTGAACATTATCCCTGAGACATATAGAAAAGAACAGAAAAATTTGTTACTGCATTGTATAATAGCAGCAAGGATAAGCTATGCTAAGTACTGGAAAACAGATAAGATTCCTGATAAACTAGAAGTGTTACAAAAACTGTTTGAGGTCGCTGAAATGGATAAACTATCTTGTATATTAAAAGGGAAAAATGAAGTTACTTTTGAGAAAAATTGAGGGAAATTGTATAAATGGAAAGCCTAAAAGACACTCAGGAAGATATCTGATTGATGAATACTGTAACTCAATAAGGCTGTATGCTCGTCTATGTAGAATGGTATAATTAGCACATGTTGTTGGGTGTGGGTGACGGAAAATCAATAAAAATATTACATTAAAAAAAATGCACGCCGGGGACTTCAATAAAGTGTGTGATGAGTTCCCAGCCGTGTCTGAAGGGACGCTTGGCTGCTACATGGGTCCACCAGTTGCCCTCGCCCTCAATCCCACAGTGTGGCTCAACCGAATGAAAGCCCTGCAGCCTCCGTTCACCCTCAGCCCCAAAATAGAAGCGAAACTGGACCGTTTGGTGAGCCGGGGGGTGCTAGAGCTTGTACCCCCATTGTCACCCTCATGAAGCCCAATGGGGATGTAAGGATTTGTGCAGATTACAAATGTAAAAGTGTAATTTGCCACGTCCGCTCCACGCCTTTCCATCCGGCCACAAATGGACAGGCAGAATGCATGGTGGGAACGACCAAAGAAGTGCTCCACCGGATCACCCATGGTGACTGGGACCACTGGCCAGCGGCCTTCCTGTTTGGGCAACAGATGACCCACACACACACCTCCACCGGCCGCAGCCCAGTGGAACTCCTTATGGGCTGGTGCCTCATGACTCGGCTGGATCGCTTACACCCAGACCGGGCTCCAGACCACCCGCCGGGCACCGAAGCCCAAGGTACGCACCACTGGTTCTTCTCGGAAGACCCCATCAATGCAAAAAACTTCACGCGAGGTCCGCAGTGGATCTCAACTAGAGTTGTGAGGACAACAGGACCCCTCTCTTATGACAGAAGATGGTCAAATCCTGCAGAGGCACATAGACCAGTTGCACCAACACCTTCTTCCCTTGGAAAACCCTGAGACCCGAGAGGCTGAAGACAGCGAAGGCGAAGAAGAGCCAGAACCAAGGGCACACATACGAGCCAGCAATCCCCAACACAGTTCTGGCAACCCCCAACAGAGTTCTGGCCTCGGTTCCTGCTGCTACTCCTGACCCTTCTCCAACAGCCGGGACAATGCCAGCAACTTCCCCTGATCCACCCGAGAGATTGGCCGACCGAAACAGAGGCTCCTGCGGTCCCCTGACGGAGCGGGGGAGAGAAAGAAACAAGTTATCACAGGTGCCTCTCCACCAGCTGACTCCATTCGCGCCACTTTTATATTTATCTTTTTTTTAATACTACTTGCCCTTTTCTGCCTGCCTCAGTTTTTGTTACAATTTTCCTCTGATGGAACATGTCATACCTTATACCCTAAACATACTTATTCCTAATTTCTTTTGCTATGGATACTTGCACACTGGGCTCTTCCACAAGTTATGCTTAAACCACTTCTTTTAAGTGTACATATATGAACAATATCACAATGATTCAAACATTAAACACCTTATAGAGCTGCAGTTGTCACGGCTATTCTTTTATCTATTTACTCCCCTTTATACCCCACCTGTTCCCCCCCAATTGGGACCCCCAAAGAGGTTTACATCATTCTCCCCTATTTCATCCTTACAACAACCCTGTGAAGTTGGCTGAGAGCGTGTGACTGGCCAATGGTTACCCGGCAAACTTCTATGGCAGAGTGGGGATTTGAATCTGGATCCTCTAGATCCTAGTCTGAAACTCTAACCCTTGCACCACACTGACTCTCAGTTGAGAGCCACTGCTTTCAGAGGTGTCAAACCCATTTGTAACAAAGGCCGGATCTGACATAAATTTCACTTTGTTGGGCCGGGCCAAGAATGCCATAAATGTAATGCCAGGTATCGGAGCTATAAACTGCATAAAGGAAAGCGGCTGATAAGTGGAATGAGCTCCCAGAAGAGATCAGGGCCCTGCGGGACCTTATGCAGTTCCTCAGGGCCTGCAAGACGGAGCTCCTCTGCCAGGCCTACAATAAGGAGGAGCCGCCTCGATAGAGAACCCTGTCCCCTGAAGCCAACAGAACAGCCTGGGCCAGCTGCATAAGGTTAGATTTATGGGCTGACGGCTAGGACGGTATACTGAAGGTTGGCCGCCATCTTTTCACAATTTCTTTATTTATTAGTATCATCAATGTTAGCACCTTTTAATGTTAGAATGTTTCATATGATTTTTAGGATTATCTAAACTGTCTATTGTGTGTTTTATTCTTTCTGTAAGCTGCCCTCAGCTGGCTCTGGCTGGGAAGGCGGGGTATAAACCTGATAATAAATAAATAAATAAGCTCTGAGTTGGTGTATCCTCACTGCAAGGCCCTATGGGTTGGGAGGGGGGTGCAAAGGAAAACCCCTATGGGAAGACTGGAGAACCAGCAGGTCAGCACAAGGCAGACGCTCCCATGCTGCTTGACTGCTGCAGAAGAGGTTGTTCCGCCATGCTGAAGCCACAACAGGAACGGCTCCCCCCACTCCCCCCCCCAAGCAGTCTCCTGTTCCCTCCCTTGCACTAGCTGCCAGTTCTGGCCCCCGGGCCTTATGTTTGACACCCCTGGTACTATTATGGATACCTAGATCACATCTGTTTCTTTGAGACTGTGCACGCTCAGATACAGGGGGGAAATTCCCATGTTAGATAGCCACAAGGGCTACACACACAATATGCCACCTAAGTTTAGACAAAGTTTAAATGTCATTTGCACAAAGGAGCCCCGCCAAACAAGAACTCCCCTGCGACTATGCTATACTGGTTCATCTGCCAGTTTTCAAGTATGCATTTCACACCTGACAGCTAAGGAATGCCTCCAATCTTACTTTCAGGTAAAGGTTTCCTTTGCTCGGAAGCCAGTCGAATCCAACTCTAGGGAATCCAACTCATCTCCGTTTCCAAGCCGAAGAGCCAGCGCTGTCCAAGACGTTTCCGTGGTCATGTGGCCGGCATGACTAAACACCAAGGCGCACGGAACGCTGTTCCCTTCCCACTGAAGTGGTACCTATTTATCTACTTGCAATTTCTTGCTTTCGAACTGCTAGGTTGGCAGGAGCTGGAACTAGAAACAGGGAGCTTACTCCGTCATGCGGCAACCCAGGTCTCGAACTGCTGAACTACTAACCTTCCACAGCCTGCAGTTCAGCGTCTTAACCACTTGAGCCACCAAGGGACCAATAAATAAAGTGATGGGTTATGTACCATATTGCCTGCAATGCTAAAATGACAACAGTCTAGCTAAACGCATATTGGTGGGTTTTATATGGAAGCAACTTGATGAAATGCTGTTTCCAGCAAGTTAAACCAAACAACTGGACACATCTACAAGCATAAGCATGAACCAGACAGTCACTGCTGCTTCCAAGAAACCAGGTGGGAACTGTTAAAAGGAATACAGAATCAAGAGCCCTTTCATCTAGAATTTCTTTGCGTGAAGCAATGATGATTGTTGGCATAAAATGACAAACCTTCAGGTCCACTACATCTTCAAGAGATTCTTTGCCAATCCAAAAGCATGAAGGACAATTGCTATATGTTCTCAAGGTCTATGTTATAACAGAAGAGCAGACTGTGTGTGTGAATGCCTGTCCATGTTAAAACTTCTTGTAGAAGTCTGCTAGCATGTCAGAGAGAAACCTTTTGTTTACATGTTCAGACAGAACATGAATGGGAACACTCAAGAATGCAGAGGCCACATTGGGTACATATGATGTGCTACAATGCCACCCACAGGCACTGCTGAACACTTAGATCAATTGTTTCTCACCCACAACGCAACATGTTCAGGTCTAGACTACATTGGTCTAATGTCAGTACAACTTTTACACAGGCTTAAAGAGACCCACTTCAAACCCTGTATGATAATATTTCTGGATTGCAGCTACAACACTTTCAGAAGCACATGAAATGAGAATGATAAATCCTCAAGAGTAGGTAGCAAATCTAACATACCTGACATATTTAAAAGAATCCCTGTGGTATAGAGGAAATGGTCCACTTTCAAAAACTGTTGCGGCACTGTAAGGTAGGCAGTTACATTTGTAATGTGGTGGTTCCTAGGGAGCTTTATCAATTTTTTTGGAAACTGAACACTTGGTTGAGATTTGGCATCTGAAAGAGATAAATAATTCCAAGTCAACAATTTAACAACGCTTCTTTCTAACAACTGACTTTTAAAAACCTGCAACACCATCCAGAAACCCACGTTCAACATATTTCCTCGTACCTCCTTCCCAACACTTATAGTTAGGAATGTTCTATTTAGTACTCTGACCGCATCTCGCCCAAATAACCATTATGCTGTGACCACAGTTATCATCCATAGATCTGACCCAAATACTCATATGCCTATCTCCAGCATGGTGGAATGTTGAAGAGCGACAGACTCTAATCTGGAGAACTGAGTTTGAGTCCCAACTCCTCCTCCACATGAAACCTGCTGGGTGACCTTGGGCCAGTCCCAGTTCTCTAAGGACTCTCTCAGCCCCATCCGGCCTGTGCTTAAGACATTGCACTGGCTGCCTATAGCATACCGGATTCGCTTCAAGGTGCTGGTTCTTACCTTTAAAGCCCTATATGGCCAGGGGCCTACATACCTGAGGGACCGTCTTTCCCCATACGTACTCCAGAGAGCGCTGTGATCAGGGACCCAGAATCAGCTGGCCCTCCCGAGTCTTAAGGAGGCCAGGCTTGCAACAACCAGGGCCAGGGCTTTCTCGGTGGCGGCTCCAATCTGGTGGAACGAGCTCCCAGAAGAGACCAGAGCCCTGCGGGACCTTTTGTAGTTCCTCAGGGCTTGTAAAATGGAGCTCTTCCGCCAGGCCTTTGGAGCCGCCACCACCACTAACAACTGACAGCCTATGGTTGGAGAGCCCTGATTCCCTGGGACCTCCAACGACAGCCTCAGCCTACTGCCTAAGATGATCTAAGAAGACCAAGGAGCTGACTGCGAGAGGAAAGAACCAAGTAACAACGTTGCGGTGAAATTATTGATCCTAGCACTTTATTATGTTTTATGGTTTTAGCATTGTTTATTTGTATTAACTGATGTTGCTTAATTTTAATCTATATTATTGTAATTCTTATGCCATTTTATGTAAGCCGCCCTGAGCCAGCCCTGACTGGGACGGCAGGATAGAAATTTTAACAACAACAACAACAACAAGATGCCTATGGTGGGGAGGGGAAGGGAAGGAGATTGTAAGCCGCTCTGAGACTCCTCAGGGTAGAGAAAAGTGGGGTATAAAAACCAACTCTTCTTCTCCTCAATAAGGAGTTACTAGCTATGCTGGAAATGTTTGCATGAGTGTTTGTGGTACGTTTGTAAAGTACTGATACAGTTGGTGGGAGTTACAGCTCTCAGTGGGACTACCAATTTATTCCAAACGGTTCCCTAAGTAAGAGGGAAATGGTGGGATAAGGAATTATGGTATGCGGATGTTGTTCTACCAATAAATATTTATTAGGCTTGGGAAACGAATATGTAAAACATTTTTACATACATGGGAATGGAGAGATGAAAAGATGTAAAGAAGAACACTGCCTGAGAAATATTTAATGCTGGTCTGGGATTGGGGAATACACGGCGTCTGTCCACTTCAAAAGAAATTAGGTGAAATGGCCCAGGTGGGGGTGTCAGGAGAGAGGAAATATCAAAGAACTCCAAGACTGAATTGAGTGAATTGTTGGGGAGAAACCATTTTAGAAACTGTTAAGTTCATGTGCAGGATTATCCTGGGGAACAATAGGAATGGCGTTCAAGGTTATAGGAACAACGGAAAGATATTTTGGAACAGAATTAGAAGGAACATTGGACAGAGACATTAAATTGGGTGCTGAAACACCCCCACCTTTAAATAACACAGAACCAGCAATGGGATAATTTACTATTACAGATGGCATTCCAAATATTGTATGTGCTTGGTATGATATGGCTAACTGGGCAGAATTTGATCAACAGTTAACACTAACCTGCTAACAAGTTACAGTAAATGAACATACAATCCGCATGTACTGTACACCTGATTTTTCGTTTGTACTTGCACTGTTATGAATGTGTGATTTAAACCCCACATTTATCCAGGTACCAGTCTCTGGTTTTCATATGGAAACTGAATACTCATTCTTACAAAAAGATGTATGTATGTGCAGGCAAGATGTACATGTGTTCATTCTAACGTGCTGCTTGTATTCTAAGAACGGGCTGTGACATCGGCACAATGCTGCTGAATACACAGACCGTGTAACAGACCACAAGCGTCACTGGCATTATGTAAGACTGTACTGCAAAACCATTAGTTGGGCACAAACAAAGCCTTAATCAAGGGATAGGTCAGTAAATAAGACAACTGGTTCAACACTGCAGTTGATGGTTTAATTTAACTGGATGTTAAGTAGGGACTGTGGGCTGGAACTGGAGTTGACCTAAGTAAGGAAGTCTGATTCTCTCTGTGGTGGTTGGGAGATTCTGGGCAGATAACTGTCTCTGAATCAGATTTTTGGGAATAGTCAACAGAGAAAGTGAAGACCATGCATGACTGCATGTCAAGGTAGCATGGGGTTTAAGGCTGAGTAGAAGCTAATATACATAAGTAATCCTAGAAGTCAACATCTGGCAGAGCTAAAACCAACAGAACATTGGTACTGCATGTCAGGATGTACAAACAGTGAAGCCGGAACTCAATGATTCCAGTGGGGAAGTACCAAGAAGGGGTTTGGACGTCTTCTGCTGTCTTTTGTCATGACTTCCATCACAAGGGAAGATTACTTAATCTCATGGTGCCCCCTACTGTCTTTATAAAGACTATGAACTACAGCAAACAGGAAGTTAATGGGGTACCATGTGATACGTAAAACATTAACAGGTAATAAAGCAAATGACTCTTCTGAATAATGAGCAGCTTGCCTTTATTGACTAATAATTAATAAATCACGAAGGATCAGGTGTCAGGCAAGAAGAAGGACCAGGAACTACCATCCACATAACAAACAAAGAGCCAAAGAGTCAAAACCAGTCAAAACTAAAGGCCTGAGGACTCAGAGAAAGAGAAACCACACCTGACTGGCAGATTCACCTGCTTGGCTTGGTAACTGGGATTCTGCATAGGGAGACCACAGTTTTACTAGAGGGATGACATTTGTTAAGAGATGGGGGTTATCAAGTAGGGATGGGCATGAACCGTTTCACAAGCCAAAATTCGGCATGAATGTGGCCTGGTTCGTAAAATGTTTGGGGATTGTGTCTTACCCAAACATTTACTGGACTTTTGCCTGGTTCGGCTGTTTGGGCCATTTCAGCTTAACAGCAGATGGGCACACCCGCCTTGCTGTTAGGCTGAAATGGCTGCCAGCTTGGAAGTGGTGGGAAGTGAAATGGACCGCTGGAATGGCTTGCAGCTAGTTCATTCTAACGTGCTGCTTGTATTCTAAGAACGGGCTGTGACATCGGCACAATGTTGTTGGATGTTATGCTGAATATACAGAATACACAGCTTCACTGGCAGTTAACCTGTCCATTTCGCTTCCCCCTGCTTTGAAGTGTGTGTGGGGGCAAACAGACCACTGAAATGGCGGCCAGGGAACAGGTATACCCACCCTGCTGCAATCCGTTTTGCTTCCCTCAGACAGACATTTAACCCTTCTTGGATGAACTCCTTTCTCCCAGCCACAGCTTGCCGCCACTGGGAGAAAGGGGGTCCAAACTGGTTCAAGCATTTTTGGCTTGGTTCAGGGCCGCCCTGAACCCAACCAGAATTTTTGTGTTCATGCCCATCCCTAGTATCAAGTAACCCTGTATTGTTTGTATAACTGGCACATAATAAATTAATTGAGCAAGGAAAACCTGAACCTCAAGTCCCTTCTGGTACTATGGTGCACTCCAAAAATCTGATAAAGTTCCTGCGGTGGGTGATTTCCCACCCCTCAGTTCAACAAGCAGGAGTTAAGTTAAGTTAAGAGTTGGGCCTTTTCAGCTTTCTGCAACACATCTTAATTAATTGATAATGTATCAAAATCATTTTTTTTTAAAAAAACAACAGATTTTTTTCCTCCCTATATTGTTTTTTTAAAAATAAATAACTTTGTTTTTTAAGTGGCACAACAAAACAGGAAGGGGACATCAGGAGGTGTTTTTCCTCCTGGAGGAAAAGGATTGTATGCTTCGTCCTTATATTTGAAAATCCTGCCCAAGCCCAGACCCAGAGGCAATTTAGTCCTGTAGCAATATGCTGCAGTAGTTATCGTGGTGCTAGCCAATGTGGTATACTGGTTAGAGTGTCAGACCAGGATATGGAAGATCCAGGTTTGAACCCTTTCTGCCATGGAAGCTCATTGGATGACTGTTGGCCAGTCACTCTCTCTAAGCTTAACCTACCTCACAGGGTTGTTACTGTGAGGATAAAATGGAAGAGGTAAGTGCCGTAAGTCCCTTTGGTTCCCCACTGAGAAGAAAAGTGGGCTGCCTATCCCAATAAATAAATAACAATACTATTAACTGTGTGTGGAGGTAGGGATCTGAAGCTATTGATTGAGCACTGTCTATGCATACTCTGAGGGACTGCATTCAATAACTAAGTACTAATGTTGGAAACAGACTCTTAGGCTAAACTTTACTGAGCTCTAAGCACCAGTTAAGTCATTAATTCTGGAGACAAATTCCACTGGGTTAGCCTTGTTAGTCTATTATAGCAAAACCCAAAGGATTCTTATGTCACCTTAAAGGCTAACGTACTTATTGTAGCATAAAGGTCCAGGTCACACCGGCAGGAAAAGCCGCGCCGGAAGTGCGGCTTCTTAGAGCCACACCAAAGGAAAGCATGGCATCGGGATCAGACACTTCCCCCGAGCCGCCGCACATATTTGGTCCGGTGCGATCACATGGCCAGGGGAAGTCAGGCAAAGACGGGCAAGCCGAGGCTGCTGGAGTATTCGTGCACATGCGCAGTCCGGCAGTCCCTCGAATAACACGGGCTGCTGGCGCATCCGCAATCCCACGCCTGGCCTTGCTGTGGATCTTCCGGTAGGTACTACATTTTCCCTAGTACCTTTTTGATCTGCATTTTTGGCTGGAAGGGACGGGTTGGGGGCGGGGGAGTGACGCATGCCAGATGTTGGCATCTGATCGTGCTGGTTTAATCCGCCCTCAACCCGTCCGTTTCGTGGGGCAAATCCTCCCGTGTGACCGGGGCCAACGTCTACTTCACCAGATGTATTAAATGAATCCTTGCTCGGCAGATATACTGAGATACCCTCATGGACACTAATGGGAGAGGGGAATGACCATGAAATGTCAGAGTATCATATGTGACATTTCTTTGCAAAACTCAAAAGCATACAAGATAAACAAAAGTATACAAGATAAGCAAAGTGACCACTGCAGCTGTAACAGACAACCAATGCCTCGGTTAGCTGTCCCCAGGTGAAGGGCCTTCTCAGTTGTGACCCCTGCCCTGTGGAATGCACTTTCTGATGACACCCATGCCCTGCTGGACTTGCTTAGTTTCTGCTGGGCATGCAAGCCCAAAAGGCTTAGGAAGGCCTTTGGAGTGTAGTCCACATATTTGAGTTGTTTTTTAGTGGTATGGTGCTAGCCACAAATTTTAATAGTTTATCAGATTTTATGTTGTTTTTAACTTATTTGTATCATTTTAATGTAAGCTGCTGCAAGACCCTTTGGGTGAGTGGTGCCGGTGACTAAAAAAATAAATAAACAGCACAATCTTTTTAATATTACTAAACTAATGAGACATCCTTCATGGTTAAGAAAAGTGTTTCCTCTCAAGAAAAAGAAGAAGAGGAAGAAGAAGAAGAGGAGGAGGAGGAGGAGGAGGAGACGAGACTGGATTTATACCCCGCCCTTCACTTGGAGTCTCAGAGCGGCTTACAAACTTCTTCCCTTTCCCCTCCCCACAACAGACATCCTGTGAGGTAGGTGGGGCTGAGAGAGCTCTTTCAAGGACAGCTCTGGCAGAACTAGGGCTTGCCCAAGGTCATCCAGCAGCTGCAAGTGGAGGAGTGGGGAATCAAACCCGGTTCTCCCAGATTAGAGTCCATGCACTTAACCACTACACAAAACTGGCTCCTCGTTAATACAACTAAAATCTATCGATTAATTCTAATTCAGCAATTATTTAGGCTACAATAGATCTGTAGTCTTCAAGGTGCCATCAAGCTTCTTTTCGGTCAGAAGGAAGGAGAGCCACTGAAATACCCATGACGATGGATTTTTATCACAGAGCTATAATCCCTTGACATAAATTAATACATGGGATATATTTAACATTAAGGTAGTTAAAAATAAAATCATTTCACAGGAAACTGTAGTTATTTTCCATGAACCAATGCTGGGTCATTCAGGAGCAGGGTGTGTGCGTGTTGGCTGTTTGGAGTACTAAAATACTTGAACTGCTCTGGGCACTGGCACTAATCCGGTGTCTAGCTTGATGTGGATCTTAGACCTCGGGAGACCCAAGGGGGAAAAAATTGAAAAAATCCACCCAAAGCATACAGGAATAACACATCAATTACACAGTTCAAGGCTGAAAAAGTCTCTTACAACATGTGGATATATACTCCCTCTTGGAGCCCACTGTTCCTAATTACACATGATGAAACTGAATGCAACCATTGAACATCATGCATCACCTTAAAACTCCCTTCAAATCTCATCCTTGCATCACTATTACTTACCAGATAGCTTCCCGGTTATTAAAACCGTATCCTCAAACAGCCATATATTTGCTTGGCTTTGAGGGAACAACGAAAGTGTCACAGATGAATATACTGTGGAAAATACAATAATAAGAATATATTACTACAAAAGCATGTGTTGCCAAAAGGAGGGTGGTAAATTTAAGGCACAAAGAAAGATGGAGATGAGGAGAAGAGGACCAAGTATTACATCAGGAAAAAGAATTGATTTTATTGACTTTGGTTTAGTAAAAATGGTGTGACCTCAACAGTGCTTTCTCTGTACATTCTTCAAAAGAGCAGATCCCCCCCACACAATTATTCTGTTATTTGCACAACTGCCAGCACTCACTATGAAAGGACTGACTGATAGTGAACACTTTGAAAAAACATAACGAATGTATAATGAAAGGATGTTTGCCCTTAACTTCGAAAAATATTTTTGTATCTTTATCCACTGTATTCTGAATTTTTTTAAAAATATGATGCACATCGGAATTAAGAAACTATATAAAAATAACTTTGGACAGGTGTTGGCAATGTGGAAAAGCTGATGCAGATTTGACATGTCTGAAGGAATTGTAAAAGTAATGATAGATTTATGAAAGTGGGGTTTCCATCTGTTTCAAAGATATTTTGATTTGTGGAGAACTCCATGGCTAGGGGTTGCCAGCTCTGGGTTGGGCAGTGGTTGGGGAGGGGAGGGACCTCAGCAGGGTATAAAGGCCATAGTGCCCATCTTCCAAAGTGGCCATTTTCTCCAGGGGAACTTATCACGACGATTTGGAGATCAATTGTAATATCTGGAGGTCTCAGGTACCACCTGGAGGTTGGCAACCTTATCCAAGACTTGGTTCCGCTCTTACCACAAAGCCATGGCCTACTGGTATAGAGATGTGAAGGCCCGGAAAGAAACAGGAAAAATTTGGGGGGAAAACAGTTTTTTTCGGGTTTTTTCCTGAAGCCTTTTCTGTTTTTTCCCCCGAAAAATTGGAAAAATTGAAAAAAGAAAAGAAAAGAAATTAACTATGGAATGTTTTATTTTATTTAACATGATGAATAAAATATTTTAAGACAAGGTGTTCAAATATTTTCCAAATAATTTCTCATATATATATATATATAAGGTGCGATTGTCAGAAGAAAATTAAAAAGTTTCAGTTTTGTTTTTGCATGTGGGTGGGTATTCTGTTTGTAATAATTGTTTGGATACACTATATTTTTAATATGCTAGTTGTGATAATTTCATGCCAAGTAAAAATGTCCATAGTCATATTTTATGTTCCTAAAGTAACAGAATGACGTTCAATCTAGAAAAGACAAAAGAAATGCTAATGTAGCATTTTTTCAATTTTTCTGAAAATTTCTGTTCCCCCCGAAAAAAAACTGGGAAAAAACCCAGGTTTTTTTCCGAGCTTCAAAATTTCCGGAAATTTTACATCTCTATACTGGTATTTAGTTTGTGCAACGAAGGTTCAGCTCTTGGATGATTACTCAATCCTGGTTTGTTTTGATATATCCTGGTTGCAGGACCCCTGACCTTCCACAATGACCTGGCTGCTATCCCGGCATACATTGCCACACCGGCTGATAAGCTAGGCTTGACAGTGTCACTATGATATTTATCAGTAGGTTAAGGAACTCTCTCAGTGTAGAAAACAGCCACTGCCTCAGGTCCTCTTAGGGTCAAGCTAGATATGATGGTTTCCCTTGCCAGGCCACATTTTAAAGCCTAATATGAGAAATTTAAAAAGGCTGTGAGGGCCTGATTGTAGGGCTGCCATGTCCCCCCTGGCCACCGGTGGCAGATGGGGGGGGGGTTAGGGTTGTCAGGTCAAGATTGGGAAACTCCTGGAGATTTGGGAATGGAGCCTGGAGAGGAAAGGGACCTCAGTGGGGTGCAATGCCACAGAGTCCACCCTCCAATCATCCATTTCCTTCAGGGGAAATGATCTCTGCAGTTTGGAGGTGAGCTGTCATTCTGGGGGATCTGGAATCCCACCTGGAGGCTGGCATCCCTACCCAGCCTTGATCAGGACCTCAACATGGTAGGATGAGTTGTTCTTTTCAAGAGCTGAACTGGCTACCCCACACCTTTTCAAGAGCTGAATTGGCCACCCTACCTCCCTTTGCTGTTTTAGTAGTTGAAAAGGCACATGGGGGAAAACAACATGCCTCAGGGCCGTAGCCAGGATTTTTTCCTTTGGGGGCATTTAAATAAGTGGGGGGGGCACTGTGTCAGGAGCGACGAGAGAGTAAAAGTTTTAAAAGCGACAAGAGAGAGAGGGGGCTGAAGCAGGGAGCAGATGTGCCCTGTGGTGTGCCTCATCCACAGCCAGCAAGAGGTACACCGCTGACAGGCAGGGCAGAGTGACGGCTTGGCCTGGCCGCGGGGTGTGAGAAAAATAAAAGATACCAGCTGGATGGGAAGCCGTGAGGCCTGGGTGGTAAGTCAGGGGGCCCGTCCCCAAGATGCCCCACAGTAGCTATGGGCCTGCAGCGCCTTATCCTGCTGTGCTGTGGACCCAATCAGTATCTGGCCCTCACAGCATTTTTAACTGCCCCCATTAGACTTTAAAATGGCAGCGGTATCCCTGGGCTGGACCCAGAGATGCAGTCAAGCCTAGTTCGGCTCTTAGCTGACTTGGCTCTTCAGATGAGCCCTTTGCTCACACCAAATCCTTAAACTACAACCACGCAGAGCAACAACATTTCCCAGACTTCCAAGTATCCAATAGATATTCTCCTCTCAATTTTCATAACATAATATGCGACGTTATTCCACATTCTACGGCTGCAGTTTGGTTTGCACCCCAGTACTGAACGTACTGAAAATATATTTACCACTAAATTATTTATAGTACAGCACTGGAAGTCAGTAATAATACTAAGCAAATACTAATGAGGAATTACCGGGGGGGGGGGGGGGGAGATGACAACAATGTGAGTACCTTCACTGACCCACAAAATCTTCCCCTCAAGGATTCTACAAGCTCCCAGGAACTCAAGTTAGCAGATTTCCCTCTTTTTCATTTTTCTTTTACCTGTCAACTGCCTTTAACATTCTGTGCCTCCTAGAACATACTCAGTCTGCATCAGGCTATTTGATTTGGAAAATAAGTAACCTACAAAGTCATATTTTTCTGCACACCAACAGTGTAGTAACCCCCCCTTTTGGCACTAGGCGGCCCCACTGTCTTCCTTCATGTTCATGAAGGGGGGGGGTAAACTCTTTATTATTAGGAATAATTAACTGTTCTCACAGCTGCACTGTACTTTTGGAGCCTCTCTGAGCACCTCCAAAACTCAGGGTGACATAGGACAGAAGCACCTCCACTCTACCTTCAGTGGGGGGACAGGCAGGACCTCGCACAACCTCAAGCTCCGGCTGTATACCAATCCCATGCAAAATTCATGGGCTCCTAACAATGGAATGGGGAACTTTTACTGTTAGCACTGTACACTTAGAAATCTCTCCAAATATCTTTCTATTATTAAAAACACCTGCCAAGACAACTGATTAACATGCAAATAAAAACAGTAAAATCAACCCAAAGACAATGACAATACCATAAAACTAAAAGAGAAGCATAAAAATAAATCACAATAAATCATCATTGGATCATAAAATAGCAGCAAAGCAAGCCTAGTAAGACAGGATGCAGTAAAATCACAAGAATATAAAAAACTACAGCCTATCATGATGCAACCAGCAGAGACTCAAATTCTACCAGGTCAAGCAGTAAAACCATCCAAAGCTCTGATTTATTTACAGACTTAACGAACTTGCAAAAGGTTGCAACTTGCAAGGGGCAAAGATACTTTCCTGAAGCAGGGAATTCCACAACCTGGGGGCCACTACTGATAATGCCTTGCTGCACAGCCAACATTTTTTTCCATTGACCGTCTGCAGAAAAGGACACCCATGGATCTTAAATCACAAGTACATTTATATGGGGAGAGGTACTCCAGCAAGTATCCTGGCCCCATGCTTTTTAGGGATTTAAAGGTCATGCTGAGTATTATAAATAAGGCAGAAATGCAAAGTTTCTAAGCAAAAGTAACAAGACATGAATTCTGATTCATGACCGTAATTTGAGGTAATATATCCTGCACCCTTCTTCCAGAATTTCAACATAGACTCTTAAAATGCTGAAGTACGTGTTCAACCCTTCTTCAATATAATCTGCATATATTCAGTACAGATCTTCCCAACAATTACAGCAATTTCTCGGTTTCACTGAAGATCAGCTTTACATTTGCTTCAAGATATGTGACATTTACCTTCACACCCAGCATTCAGGCCTGACCTACTTTGGGTAGCTTCATTAAGTCACATTCATTAGGTGATAATCAGATGGATTACTCAAGGGAAGGATGAAAGTTCAACTTCATTCAGTTTAATAACAGGGTTTTAAAAGAGGCTTACTTACTTGGCATTCTCCCAGTCTTCCAAGGCAAAGGTGTTAACATATAACCATCTTTATAAGAGGTGATAGTTAAACTTAGGCCTAGCTGATAGGGAACTCTTATCAATACTGCTCCATTGTTGCCAGTTAGTGTGGAATTGGTCTTGGTGTAATTGACAAAGACTTCTACAACAGCTTGACGTAGGTATTGATGACTGATGATGTCGTTGACTTGCACTTTCAGCGTAAACATAGATCCTGAAATAGAAGGTGAAAAAAGGACAATCACACAACACTGCAAAATTAGTTCAATTCCAGTATATGCTTGAAAGGGAGAGTCTCAGACTTGCTTCTGTATCTCAAGAGAAATACTGGCTTGAGCTTTAAATTGAATTATTCAGCTAGCAAAGGTCTGGTTTGTGTACTATGGCTGCTAAGCCCCACGTTGAAGAGGACAAACAGCCAGAGCCAGAACACAGTCTTGACCCTCAGAATAGAAGGTCAAAGGTGAAAGGTTGGGCAGGCACAACCTTATCTTAGGCAGTATGAACCAATATGTTTGGGGCCTTCAGACTTGTGGCGCTCCCAGGCAGTTTTCCGCCTCTCCTGCACATATTCCTCTCCTCTGTTGCATTTCCTCAGTAAAAAACAATCCATATATATGCCTAGGCCTGGTTTGCGTAATTCTTCAGTCAAATAAAATGTGGAAATTGTACCACTGTCCAAAATGGCCTTTACATGAAGCCCTCTTGTCACTCATTATAAATGGTGCATGACAGACATGGACATATAGGCTATTCCTACCACCTCATGGGGGGATTTTTTTTAAGAAATCATTACTTAAAACCACAATGGGAAAAGAATTGCCATGGATATAACCTAGAACGCAAGAAAACAGTTACTGGACTCCTCTCCCCCCTCATCCCCCCCCCAAATCACAGAATATGTCTATACACAGAAACAGAGGTGCCGTGGCTTCCCATCTAAACATGTCAAAAAGGAAGTTTAGAGATGCAGAGTACAACAGCCTTGGACCAGGGGCAAGACACAAACTACTAACACCATTATATGTTCTTGTGTAGATTAGAATCTGCCTAATCTACATCAATAGATATTCCCCAGCTGAGGTCCAGGGGCAGAAGCATCTAAAAATGGCAAGAATGTCCAACCGCTCAGAAGTGAAGATAATGGTTCAAAGAGGGATGTGTGGGTTGGGGACCAAAATATATTTCTATGTATGAGAAACTTGTAATCACAATTTTTAAATAGATGTTAAGATAAAAAGTAGCAAGACTGAACTAACAGTTTATATATATTTTAAGAAAGCGTTGCAAGTACAGAAGTTTGAAAGCATAAGATAGTGGCTTAGTCAAGAATGTGCACCCTTATCAGGTGGAACAATTAGCTGTTGTTCGGGTATCTTAAAATCCTATAAATAAGAGAAACGGAATTGATCAACAGCTTCTTTCTCATAAGAGGCTCCTTGCCTGCGACCTGCTTATCTTTGGGGTAAGATATTTTATGGACTAATTATGTATTTGCTCTCCTTTAATTATTTATGTAACAATAATGGATGGTATAGTTTTCTCTTCATTTAGTCAATATTAAGAATGCAATAGTTGCGCTTAATGAAAGCTTAAAATGGAAGCTGAGGTTTCCTAATGGCATTACTTGTGCACTATAACCGTAACGGACCTAAAACGTTATTGAGGTGTACCTCCAGCCAGGAGTGAAATGCCCTGATATAGGGAAGCTAACTAGATGCCTAGGGCTTCTTAAGTGCATGCCTGTATCTGATTCAGGCCTGACCAGAGTCATCCAGAACACAATGTAAAACTATTTAAACATTTATGTGCTCCCCTCCCCCCACAGGAGTAGGGAAGTAGAAGTTGGCCATTTTGGAATCCATGTACTTCCTGAACAAGGCTGCACATAACAATTAGAATATAATGGTTTAAAGCTTTGGTACATTTAGGATTCCCTGCTCTTGGCAGACAACCCCCTGAAGCAATTCGTTGACAGTAGAGCAGGTGGCAGTGACATCATAGCATCAGCACTGCACCAGGACACGGCCCGGGACCCCCAATGTGGTGTCTATAGGTTGCCATGGTGCCTGCCAGCACCTCTCCTAGAGCCTGCCAAATGTGTTTAGAAAGTGGACCTGGCCAGGTGGGGCTTTTGTGAACAGGGCTTTTGATTGGCCGGTGGAGATCTGATTGCTGTGCAGATCTTTTGAGAGTTGCTTCAGCACTGGCTGCCACCACAACACAAGGATCTTCACTGCGATACTGAAGATAAGCTGTATGCATGCGGGAAAATGTTTCTTAAATCGTATGTTCACTTTAAAAGTCATCCTGCTAAACAGAGCTTCTGCCTCAAATGTTGAAGAGTTATGCGTGACTTCACTTCCTGGCTCTGCCTTTTGTGGCAGCCATTCTGTGGTTGCGCCTACCACCCCGTGGTCAGAATTCCAAAGGTTCCCGAAGACTCCAAAAGGTTGGGGACCCCTGAATTACTGCAATATTTACCCTTATTTGGAAGTAAGATCCATTAGGCATTAAGTATATTTTAAGATACCACAGATTTCCCATTAAAACCAAGTCAGTTTCTTAAAAAGAGAGACTCCCCCCCCTCCAGCATTCATAGGAAGGGATTCAACAACCATGGTATGCGTGAACCACAACGGTCTACTTGGAGAAATGTCAAGGGAGGCCTAGAGCCATACAGAAAGCTTTGAAACCATTTTTTGCCAGACCAAGGTCTCAACAAAGTGCTCCTAAACAGTGTTCCCTGTAAACTGAGTTAGTGTGAGTGTGCTGCCCCCAGTCAGCGTTATCTGCAGTTTAGTAAAACTGCGCTGTATCTTTAAGACTTGTTGCACCTGGGAATTGTAGTTCACAGTTAGGGGTCCCAGAAGCTTCCCTCTGACTGGCTCATTAAGAGCAATTTCCTGAGCTCAGAGGCGCAAAGATAGGAGTTTTATTGTTCTTTTCCGTTTCTTTGTACATCAACCCTTACTGCAAGGAGAGGGGAAGTCCATCTCTCTCTTGCCGCGGCTATAGAACTGACCTAGATCAAAAGATGTAACTTTCCACCCAGCTATCTGGTCGATTGTGAGTAAACGATCTTCTGAATGCGTGTGAAGTTAAATAAAGATGATTTAAGCTCTACTCAGTAGTCGTGGTTGACTCACACCTAAAGAGCGTTGGCTTAGCACAGCTCGCGCTGGACAGGACAGTGAGCTAGCTCACAGTTTTTTAGCCTCCGGCTCACACATTTTTGCCTTAGTTCAGGAAGGATGGCTCCAGAGCAAAATGATTTATGCAGTAGCCAAATCGCTCGCTCACAACTTTAATGCCAGTAGCTCACAAAGTAGAATATTTGCTCACAACCCTCCCCAGCTTAGAGGGAGCATTGAAAAGAAATCCTTCACTAACCTAGAAAATGCCAGACTACTTTAAATGCCAATATCATCATGAGATCGAAGAGGTTGTGTGCAATGGAATCTAGCACATCTGTTGTTGTTGCGATCGAGTCACAGCTGACTTTATGACAACCCGTACACACTACAAATTATTTCGAAGAAGTGAGCAGTGACTCACGGAAGTTCATGCCCTGCCACAAATTTTGTTAGCAGTTAAGGTGCTCCTGGACTCTCGCTCTTTTCTACTACTACAAATCATTGTTACTGAAGAAAGGGATTTCTTTTATTGTTCTCCATAATGAGAAAAAAATGTTATCTAGGCAAACAATCTCAAAGAGCGAACATTTCCCCCTAATCTCTCCCCCCCCACCTCAACAGACACACTTCATCATCTTACTTTCAAAAACAGCACACAAAAGACAGACATAATCCCGACTTCAAACACGGTGTTCTCATAACACCACCAAGTGGGAACGGTGGGAAATAAAAAATGCAGGAGACAGAACCATGATATATTTCTCACTGAAAGGAGCTATAACATCCCTCAGTACTTTCATTCTTGCTTCTGGGGGTGGGGGGGGGAAGAGTAAGATGTTCTCTGCAACAGAAACAAAAACCACCATTCTTTTTCCAGGGAGAAACAATGATAGCTGATTGATCTACTTGGTAAACTGAAAGTATATATTTAGTAGAAGGGCTAGCAGAAAGGCAAACCAGGAACTTCAACATTCTTGGATGGAAGGAAGAAGGAAGAGATTGGATTTATACTCCCCTTGAAAAACCAGGCTCACAGCTTGGGGGTGTTGCTTGACACATGGTCGCCTTAGGAAACCAGGTGATTGCTGTCACTCAGGGGCACAAAAATAACAAGTATTTACAATCAAGATCTCTCAGGGTTCCCTCCCTTCCTGTCAACTTCTCTGAGCCAGCCAGTGGCTGAGAGTTCCCTGAGATGAGTGATGGTGAGGTATCTCAACCGCTTCTGGGAACCCCCTTCCTCTCCAAATCTCCTCCCTAAGGTTCTGGAGTCCTTAGTAGAAACTGCCACCACTCAAGATATCCTTAGACCTGTCTCCCAATAGCTCCCCGCCCAATGCCTTGAGTCGCCAGAAAGATTAGGTGTATGTGAATGTGCACATATCTGAGCGACTAGGCACTTGGGTGGGAGTTTCAGTACCATCAGACCACTTCATAAGAAAGGGCTTCATTAATCGACATACACCCTGCAGAAAAGCCAACACCGATGAAATGGGAAAGAATCAGCATACAGCCAGAGATGCTGCACAATACCACAGATAAACCCAAATGAGAATAGCTAACTCCATGATGTTGCTTTGACATTCTTCCTCCAAAGAATGAATGTAAAAAAACAAGAATTTAACAACTGCTGCTCTTCAGCCATGGCACACATTGAAGTCACACACACACTAAAAAAATCTACTTTCAATCCACTTTGAATGCGCTTTCCACCCTGACATCACCGGAAGTGTGTCAGAAGGCCCGGCTACTTACCCTCCTGCTTCATCCTCATTCCCAAACGGAATGAGGATCGAAGCAGAGGGCGGGGTAAAGAAGGGGGCGGGGCTTCACCACGTGACCGCCCCGCCCCCTAGAGGTTCTCTTCCGGAGCTCCGTACCTGAGAGCTCCCCCCCGACTAGAGCCCTGGGTGTATGTGAATGTGCACATATCTGAGCGACTAGGCACTTGGGTGGGAGTTTCAGTACCGTCAGACCACTTCATAAGAAAGGGCTTCATTAACCGACATACACCCTGCAGAAAAGCCAACACCGATGACATGGGAAAGAATCGGCATACAGCCAGAGATGCTGCAGA